AACAGCTGATCAGCTGTTTGTCGGCTCAGTGCGATAGTCTGGATGCGCGGGTGTCAACATCAAAGGTAACTCTTAAGGTGAGGCAGCAGAAGGTTTATTTCAGTGACAGAATGGCAGTGTAACAACAGTGGGGTATTTCCTTTCCATACCGGTGATCCTGGTTATCACTGATATAGTCTGGTGCTGGCTTCTCTCTGCATCACAATTTGCACACGTGGCAAGGGCACAAGGAGCCATTATTTTTAAACTGACGTCACAATTTCCGCACCGTATAGAGGCCCTACGTGAGCGTGATCTTAGAGTGGACTTCAACACTTCTGTGAGAAGGCAGAGGGACCTTCAGCGCCAAGCCCCAGACTTAGTCTATATCTAGACTACAAAGAAAAGTCAGAAAAAGATATACAAATTGCAAACCACAATTTGCGTATCTTTTCCCACTTTTATTTTGAAAGAGGCTTTTCCGAAATTTGGCCCGTCTCACGGCACCGAATTTCAGAAAGAACTCCTCTTTTGAGACATCCCTCATGCCTCGTAGAATGAGATTTACAGGGATAACGAAAAAGGACGGCTGCTTTAACTTGGATGCGGCATTTACCCCAGAAAAGTGCTGCAGTCTAGTCTGAAATAAACCTTATTCCTCCTACAACGAGGTTTACCAGTTATTTCGGAAGAAGGGTTTTCTTCTGAAATAACCGCGTCTAGACAGCGTTTCTTTTTTTGAAATAGCGCCATAACGCAAATATGCAAATGAAGCGCGGGAAATTCAAATTTCGCTCAGTTGCATTTGCAACCCTCTTTCGAAAGAGGGTGCAAGTGTAGACCTACCCATAGCCTTACATGCCCTCTCTGTAGGCCCTATCTTACATCAGTGGAGCATCTCTATTAGGAGCAAAGGAAACAGCAAGGCTACGTCTACACTGGCATGATTTTCCGGAAATGCTTTTAATGGAAAAGTTTTCTGTTAAAAGCATTTGTGGAAAAGCGCGTCTAGATTGGCCATGGACGCTTTTCTGCAAAAAAGCCCCGATCACATTTTCGCAATCGGGGTTTTTTGGTGGAAAACACTACTGTGCTGTCTACACTGGACCTTTTGCGCAAAAGTCTTTTGGAAAAAGACTTTTGCCCAAACGGGAGCCGCATAGTATTTCCGGAAAAGCACTGACGATCTTACATGAGATCATCGGTGCTTTTCCGGAAATTCAAGCAGCCAGTGTAGACAGCTGGCAAGTTTTTCCGCAAAATCATCTGATTTTGCAGAAAAACTTGCCAGTCTGGACACAGCCCAGTGGTGTTGCTGACCATCAGTGTATGCCTTGAAAGCTGAACAGCATCTGTCCCTATGTGGAGATAGCATCCATTTAACTATGGAGGCGAGTATGGCCCACTCCTCAGTGAATGTATGGAACTCAGACCAGCTCTGCTGACTTCAATGGAGCCATGTCAATTTTCACAGCTGCGGTTTGGCCCTGTAACAATTTTTGAAGTGGTTGGAAGTAAAATGGAGGTGGCACCCCTCTAGTCTGTAATGCCCACAGATCCCTCTGGTGCTGTAAACTCTGAGAAGAATTCTTCAGCTGGTTTTCTTGACCCAACCTGCTTTTACAATTTTTATGCCATCCCTCAGCATGGGTCCCCTGTACTTCTAGGCAATTCACATGCCGATAGCTACACTGGTACAGTTACATTAAGGAAAGATTGTTTAACATAAGCAGGGGCTTAGAGGGTAGATCCTTTCAGACTTTTAGGACCTAGATAGTGCTCTAAATCTCACTGCTGGAAAGTCTTGGCTTATGAAAGTCCAGAGCATACGCATGACAGTTCACAGCACTGACCTGTTTTTGCCACACCGCCTTGTTGGGTAGGAATCTTTCCCAGGCTTTTTCCCAGCATGCTTTCTTGTGAAGAACTGTCAAACATGTCTGACTGAAGCCGCTTGAGCAGAATGTCTTCAGGGAGCAGAAGCACAGGAGCAGACGAAATCTTTCTCTCCTTGGGAGTAGGACAAAAATGGAGATATCCAGACTTCCCAGTGCTAACCTCAGTGCTATTATATGGTAGTCATTACAGTCTATATCATTACCATTTGCAAGTACCACAGTATTCCCTGTTCTCTGTTTCTACAATGATTTTAATGGCGTGTGCACGATGTACAATAAAAACAAATGAACTGCAAAATAAGACAGCAGCTCTCGGCTTTTTAGGATTATATGTCAGATTTGTTCTCTGGCAGCAGGAAAGCAAGCCTCAGATAGTCATGTTGTTAACCTTTATTAATAGAAAAAACGTTAACAGGCTGGTTCCTATTTCTAGTTTGCCTAGAGGGACACTCCTACCACTGCTTGTAAATGACATACCTCCATAATGCCAAAGAATATTTATGTAAACACAAAGTGGGCAGTTCAAAGCTGTGTAAATCACAGTTGCAGAATGTCATAGGTAGGGTCAGTTAAGGACTAATGAGAAAGGAGATAAAAATGCAAAGGCCCATGATGAATGCAAATATATGGACTGTGAGGCTAGTGGTGTTGAATCACAGGAATTGAAGGCTGGAATGACCACCCAAGAGATCACCTAGCCCTGGTCTACACGAGGGAGTTATTTCAAAAGAACTCCCCTTATTTCAAAACAAGTGGCGTGACCACATGACCAAACCCGTTCTTTCGAAAGAAGGGGCTGGTTATTTCGAAATAACTCCTGCTTTCCACGAGGAATAACGCTTATTCCAAGATATTTATTTCAAAATAGCGGCAGTCTAGCTACATCACCCCAACAGATGTTTGTCTAACCTGTTCATAAAATCCTCTCATGATGGAAAGCCCACTGCCTCGCTTGGAAGCCTGTTATTCTTAGGGTCCCTCCCGCCATCAATATCTATCCTAAATCACCATTGCTACAGATGAGGAAAATGATTTCTTCTCCACATTTCAGGGGACATGGAGAACACTTGATCACCATTCTCTTTATAACTGATCTTAGTGTATTTGAAAAATGTGATGCTGTTGCAAAAAAAGCAAACATGATTCTGGGATGCATTAACAGGTGTGTGGTGAGCAAGACACGAGAAGTCATTCGTCTGCTCTATTCTGCACTAGTTAGGCCTCAGTTGGAGTATTGTGTCCAGTTCTGGGCACTGCATTTCAAGAAGGATGTGGAGAAATTGGAGAGGGTCCAGAGAAGAGCAACAAGAATGATTAAAGGTCTAGAGAACATGGCCTATGAGGGAAGGCTGAAAGAATTGGGATTGTTTAGTTTAGAAGAGAGAAGATTGAGGGGGGACATGATAGCCGTTTTCAGGTATCTAAAAGGGTGTCATGAGGAGGGAGAAAACGTGTTCATCTTGGCCTCTGAGGATAGAACGAGAAGCAACGGGCTTAAACTGCAGCAAGGGAGGTTTAGGTTGGACATTAGGAAAAACTTCCCAGCTGTCAGGGTGATGAAACACTGAAATAAATTGCCCAGGGAGGTTGTGGAATCCCCATCTCTGAAGATATTTAAGAGTAGGGTAGATAAATGTCTATCAGGGATGGTCTAGACGGGACTGGGTCCTGCCATGAGGGCAGGGGACTGGACTCGATGACCTCTCGAGGTCCCTTCCAGTCCTAATATTCTATGATTTTATGATATTCTCCCTCTTCCTCCCAGGCTTCTTTTCTCAAGACTAAACACATTCAGGTTTTGGGTTTTTATTCACCTGTCCTCAACAGTCAGGTTTTCTAAATCTTTTCTCATTTTCATTGAGCTTTTCTGGACTCCAGGCAAAGTGAAAGAAAACAGAAAAAGACCATTGTTTCTCAAAATAAACAAGTTACTGATTTGTGGCTTGTTGGCTATATGGAAATATTTAAGAACGTAAGCATTGTGCATGCTTTTAACAAAATAAATGTGCATAGCTAAAGTATTTAGAACTAAGACAGCTAGGAGAGCACAGGCCTCGGATAGCAGAGCTGTCATTATCCTCTACTTGCACAATTCCCTCTCTTAACCAATATTCACGTCATACTACCCGATCTCTCTGCTTGTTACATTCCAATCTCTCATTACCGAGGGAGACCTACACTTAGTGGAGACAGACTGGATCAGTGGATGGAATCTGATTCCGCTCAACTTCATTCACAAGTGCATGTCCAGGTTCTGACATTCATACTGACTGGATGTGCTTTTATCTTAATACTTTGAATTATTTAAAAAAAATAAAATAGTTCTTCAGATTATATATGCCATCAAACAGCCACATGAAATATGTTAACACCTGTGCTACTGTATTGCAAGCTGTGCAATATCAATATAAAACTGACTGACGAAGGGTGTAAATCAAGTTAACATATCCGTTCTTAAAAATAGCATAGCTGCTTTTATTTACAGATGATCTACAATTGGAGCAAGAGTTCAATCGGGGAAGTTCAGGAGGTTACTTGCTTATCACAACAACCTGTGTTTTTGCTTTTTGAAATACCAACCTGGATTGCCTATTTTTCCACGCCACCTATTTTGTAGGCAATGTTGTCAGCTATGGTGCATATAGAACACAGACATCTGCTAGGCTGTCGTCAGAATTTTTATAGCCAGGCTATGAACTGGATAAACAGGATAGACAGCGAGGCTCTGCCACCTATTACACCTCCACCCCAAACTCTTCCTGCTTGTTCCATGAACCTGCTGTGGTTTGTCTCTAACAGGAAGCAATTGGGAGCAGACACTGTCATTTACTGTACTTGTAGAATGGTTTTTAATGGGTTTAGGCTGTCAGTACTACCAGATCTCAAAAGCAATAAACATTTAAAAATATTACCTATTTTACAACATGAATTACTGTATCATGTTTTTAGGCTTTTAGACATACGTCTCAGACATGGACATGAAAGAAAAGAGTCCCCAAAATAGTTCTGGGATTGTGGAAGGAACAGGAATGAGAAACATTGAAATAGTTGGCTAAGTTTCTATCCGAAAGGGGAATTTATACATACTTATGTTTAGTAATAAAAGTGGTTGAGTATCAGGCAGGCCCATTAGAATATTGTTTTATTTACATTTTCATATTCAAAGAAATCAGTACAAATCATGAAATATTTACATTTTAAATCATACTACACAGAGGTAAGAAAAAGCATTGTTTTCTCCCAAGAGATTCAAAACAGTAGTACATTATTGCTGGTCTTTAAACTAAATTCTGTTAACATTAGTATTATGAACGAAACCACAGAATAAAGAATAAAGACACAAAATAAAAATAAAGTGCATTTATAGATGTACTTAGTTACCTTTGGTGGACGAGATTCTAGACTCTGAATAAGGCACCCTTGTGTTCCATTCCCCCTCCCCCTCCCCAAATATTAGAAAACTATCAGCAATAATTTACAGCTACATTTACAGGACATCAGTTGAGTGTCATTGCAACTTTATCCAGTTTGCTAAACCATGCACCCACTAATACTCTGTAGCTTTCTTTTTCCCTTATAACCTTATCACGTTTTTTGGTGTTTGTAGGTCTTCACCCTCACTTGACGGTCTTCAGCATTTCAGATTTCTACAAAGTATGGACTAGCAAACATTGCTGGTGTTGCAGCTATTAGACAACCCTTGAGCCATGTGATAGCCTTCAGACTCCTTTTAAAACTTCTTAATTCACAAGTTAGAAGTAGTTTGAGAAAGTGAATAGGTTTTTTTTTTAAATTAAATACAATACATCCTCTAGAATTGTTCCCTTTATAATATTGTGCAAGTCAGACTTGACCTGTTTTTTAAAACCCTTCATGAAGATTTAGAAATATATATGTTGCATTATATGATAGATTATAACCTTCACCTAATCTGAAATAGGTTTAGTATTCCTCAAAAATATCTGGGTGATGGAGGAAGGTTGACAGGCATTTTATTTTGCAATTCTGTCCTCCTGATTTGGTGCAGTGACAGGTAACATGAACATTGCTTTCCAGAAAACAATTAAGATTCTATAAGCCCAGATCAAAACTCATTTGCTTGTTAATAAAAATCCACCTTTATCTTAAATCCATAATCTCCCAATCAAACAGTTCCAAACAGACAGCTACTACAGGAGAATCCTTAGTACAATCTAAAAAAAGCAGCATATGTTTTCACAGGCTGAATGGAAATGTCTCTGTACAAGACTGTGACTGGGTTGGAAAGATTTGGTTCAATGTTAAAATCAGATGGTTTTCTTCATACATTCCTTTGAGACAGTTTTATCTGAAGAATATTTAAACTACATTCCATATGGAAGATAGAAAGGTTTAAATTAGAGGAAGGTTAAAGTTTCAAACTCTAATCGTAATCTATTAAAAAATTTCATCCCAATATTTCCAATGCAACATTGCTGCTACAGTAGTTCATTTGTTTTACTGTTTGATGTACATAGGACCACGGTTGGCAGTGTGTTACAAAGGGTTCAGATTCCACATTTTTATGATTTGATTTCTTGATTGTGAGGTTCGTCTTCTTCAAAGCTTGGGTTGTCAAGGTGAGGAAGGACATCCACCGCTGGAGACTGAGACTCATTGTTTACAAGATGTAGGCTGTCACCTTCAGGAACAAAAGAAAAACCCAATTAATAAATAGCTTTTGGGTCACTTGAATTATCCCAAAGTGTGTGCGCGTGCGTGTGTACCTCCTCCCCCCCGCCGAGCCTCTTCCTCGCTACACAGACCTATACTTCCCATACCTAACATGCTGCTCTGCATTTCTATACGCAGTCCAGGAGCTACTGGGCTGCACTCTGTCGTCCTCTCCACAACTTTGAAAAGGATGCCACCAGTGTCAACTAGACTCTGGCATGAACATCTCATTGAGAATACCCAACGTGGGGACAGAGTGCCAGGTTATAGCCGTGTAGTGGATCATCCTAGATAAAATGCTGAAGAAACGCTGGCAAAGAGACAGAAGCTTAACAAAAAGTATCAGGTGAGGCTACAATACACTAAAACTTAAAGCAAAAGAAAAGGAATATAAACACATACAAGAGCCTGGAGGAAATGCAAAGAAGAGATTAAGCTGCAAGAATAGAATAAGAATTAAGCTATTTCAATCATCTATGTAAATACACAGAAGTGGCAGGTGTGTAGCTGTGGTGGTATAAAATGCAGCCTTCAAGAATTTTGAATAAATGAAAGGATCTGCTTATCTTGTTTACCTGAAGAGCACACTAGCTCTTTTCAGAACAATTCTACCTGCATTTTCCAGGGCAAGATACCCAACAGGTGGCAGCAAATGCCACACTTTCCTTACTGTCTCCACTTCTAATACTTCATTTGAACAACTTATTACATCTGCAAAAAAAAACCTACACTGCTCCTTGGCTTTTTCATCATTATGGAGTCAATTAAAATTAATTTTCCAGATAGGAAGAACCCAGATAAAGCAACCGCAAAACTACGGAGCCATTTGAGAAGTTAAATTTAACAGGAAGATTAAATGTATAAATCACCAAGAATACAAGTGCAAAGCAATTTTGCTACATTTTCTATATCTGTTCTAGTTGAAAGAGAAGAGACAGAATTTATTTCTATAAGGAGAAAGTATTATTAATCTGTAGAAGAGACTATGAACAGCCTTTGATATATTTATATAGTCATATTTTTGTTTTCTACTAGTGTTTGGGAAATTTGAAATTCAGTACGATATTTACCATTTCAACTCATCATGCTGCACTGCATCATTTGGAGTATCACACTAGCATTACATAAATCTTCCATAACTAGAGCAAAATTTCAAGCATGTAAGTTTACCTAGTGGTACTGCAGAAATTATACATTTGTCACAGGAATGTTACAAAGGGCAAGTGAGACATGAACCCATCTAAAACTCCTTTGGATCATTGGAATCCATATTGTACTAGTTAAACTTACATTCACTTTTCGTTGAGCTTATTTCTCATTAAGGATCGGGAAAGACTAGTTTCTCAGGGCTTTCTTAAATGCAGTGCAAATGTTAGAAAGCAGAAAATTTGACTGGCACTGATGGTAAATTAAAGTCTTCCTCTTCATAAGAGCGCTGTGCTTAATGTAATCAAACATCATTAAACTTTGTGGTCATGAACAGATTTTCAGAGAGGTTATATATTCTCAGTTCTAATGTTAATACTAAAACTTAAGATCCTTTCCAGTGTTAACACACATCTAGTATTTCAGATTCTACTCAGTGCATAGTTTCTTAATCTTTGCTGCACAGAGCATTCAGCAAGGGAGCAGATGAGTTTCCCTTATATGAACTTTGGTGAAAGGATAGCTGACTTTGGAGAAAGGGCACCTTAACCCTGGATCTAGGCAAAAGTTAAAGTTGAATCCACTGGCATTTCTCCTATCCTCAACATTGCTTCCAAATTAGATTATTATTTTTGTTTTACTGGTTAAGGGTCTTCTTCAGTACTCACATAAGACCTGTATTGCTAAAAGACTTCTTTTTCTAGGAAGAAGATTTTTACTAGACAAAAGCCTTTGATATTAGCCTTCACTAGAATTTGATTAGCCTGAATGCACTCTGCTTCTGAGTAGCCATACCATAACTAAATTAAAGTTGCCTGCAGTATGAGAACATACAATGAGGAGCTAATGGAATTACTAACAGGGATCAGTGAATACTTACGCTCTGAGTGTGCACGTTCCTCTAAAGCTGGCTCATCTGTTCCTTGCACTGAAGCATATCCAGATGATGCAGTCTCACTACGATTATCCTCTTCGTTAAGGGAAGCTCTATTAGATGCTTCATTAGACACCGTGGTCTGAAGAGACTCTGGTTCACCTTCTATATCCACCTTTGTAAAGACAAAGGATTTAAAATAAATAAAGTTACAGACTAACTTGGTCGCCCCATAGATTTAAAATAAGGTGCAACTTTGTAATTGCCCATTTTATTTATGAAGCTGTAACCTGCCCAACACAGCTGTCATATTAAACCTTCAAAAGCGACGAGGAGTGCTGTGGCACCTTACAGACTAACATTTATTGGAGCATAAGCTTTTGTGGGCAAAGACCCACTTCGTCAGATGCATGTAGTAGAAATTCCAGAGGCAGGTATAAATATAAAGGCATGAGAAAAGAGCCTGTATATTTATGCCTGTATATCTATACCTGCCTCTGGAATTTCCACCATGTGCATCTGACAAAGTGGGTCTTTGCCCACGAAAGCTTATGCTCCAATAAATCTGTTAGTCTATAAGGTGCCACAGGACTCCGCATCACTTTTGTGGATTCAGACTGATATTAAACCTTGCGTCTGCAGGACGGGGCGGGGGAGGGGGAGAGAACATGCCTGCTGACTTCTCGTAGCCACCCTCCTGAAGAGCGCACAGTGAAACTAAAGGAAGTGAAATATAGAACACAAGCTCATAGGCTAAGCAGCAATCAAGAGCAGCCCACGAATGAGGCCCTTTCAGGGCCAGTGCCACGAACCCTAGTGCTAAGGCTAGTTCTCAAGAGGCTGCTACAGGACAAGTTCAATATAATTTCACACACCTTGCAGAGGAGAAGGTGAAACTGACATGATCTAGAGAAGCAAACTGGAAGAGATTCTGATACTTGTTACCTTGTGTACTCTTGTTCTCAGCACACTCATTTCCCCTTCTACTAACACACACAATGCAGTAGTTTTTCATTCTGGCACTTCCCTGGGTCAGAGGTGCCTACACTAATAGTCTCTGATAAACACAAGCTCCTTCAAAGTATGTTATTTGAAGCCATCTGCGGGAGGGAGAAGAGGGATCTCTGCCAGCCTTCTTGGCATCTAAAAACTCCTGGGGATTTAATTAAAGAGCTGCAGGGGTGGCTGTAGCATGGATGAAAAGTGATAATTATCTGAATCTACCAAAAAAATGCATGCCCACCCCACTACTGTAACTCATTTATTGCAATAAGTTGCAACTTAACTGTGGCAATTCTCAAATGCGCATATCTGCTAGCCCGGCCTGTTATAAAAGCCACCCAAACTGCAGTTTAAAACAGCTACTCTTTTCTGTGACACTGTAGTCTTCAACGAAGTACATCACAAAACATTTTAAACAGCCAATAGGCAGCTACTAAGCCGTGTCAAGTCAGAAGCAGTTTTCATCAAGAGGTTGGTCGTCTTAACTGTTACAAGTATTACACATTAACATCTTACTATGGGAGACATTCTCCAATTCTCAGTTTTCTCTCTACATTCTAGGAGTAGGTAAACGAAGAAAGTCAGTTGATTCATTATACTAGCACACTACCATTTCTGAAGTCATTTGCCACGATGAAATAACGCTAGCTTACCTCAACAATTCCCAAAGCTTTGAGTATGTCCAATTTGCACATCGGACATGTCCTGTGTTCTAACAGCCAGGGATCAATACAAGTCTTGTGGAAGAGATGGCTGGTAGAAAAAAAGTTAACCATCAGTATTTTAGTCTTAACATTGGTCATCATAGAGCTAAATATTTTAGTCAGCCCAACATTACTGAATCTCCCATGGACTCTAATAACATCTGTTCAATGCCATTGGCTTTTAGTCACCCCATAATACACTGAAAATGTTTAAGATATATTTACATTTATTGCTGCTTACTTTTGTTATGCCAACTACAGGTAAGGGAAGATTTAAAGGTGATATGCTACTTGTGAACAGTAACATCCTTACAAAGTTTAGGAGCCTGTATATTTTTAAGGTGCAACTAGGAAGAGATACAATCTGCAATACTGGATAGATAAGATCTAGTATATAAAAAGGGGAAATTCATGAAGTGTTACAGGAGAGCTAACAGACAATGTTTTCAGTAAACCCTGAATGTAGTCGAAAATAGTCAAACAGCTCCATTAATCACTGCGGAGTAACTTGAGGTTCTATTTATTCAAGTTCAAAATAAGTCCTTTGAAGTTTGACTCCCTGAGGTCTGGAAAAGGAATGCTCACATACTAACAGCTAGTAAGACTAGGTAAGGACAGAATTCTCTCTTCTAAGGTATGAGTTTATCACACAAGCCTTGTGTTGATTCAAGTTACATGATTAGTTATTTGAACCAGCTGTTGCATTGGACTAATCTGTAACTGTTCCAGCCTGAAATTGCTATAATGTCTGGTGCCTGTTAGTTTCTCTGTTAAAACTCACTAGAGCAAGTCAGCACCTTAGCTATCTCTCACCCTTTCTTAGCTGTATCTCACCCTTTCTTCAGGCTTGCGTGTAAGTAGTCATTTCCCCAAGTGGATAAACCTTGAACTTACATAAGCGAAGTTAACAAAGTCTAGACTTCACTCCTAGATTGAAGAGCAACATATTTATCATTCAAAAAACATGACAAAACCAACCCTACTTGTTTGTGTGAAATCTAAGAAATCTCATTTATCATCATGCCCTCAACCTGATGAGGAAGTCTGTATCCACAAATGTCTACGAGTACTCACTGGCTGCACAGACATGCAAGCACATAAAATGGGTGCGTACACAAGCAATATGTACAACAGAACCTCAGTCATGAACTGACCAGTCAACCACACACCTCATTTAACCAGAAGTATGCACTCAAGCAGCAGCAGAGATAAATACAATACAGCACCGTCTTAAATATAAATATTAAAAAAATAAAGGGAAAGTTTCTAAGAAAAGATTTGACAAATAACAAAACTGCTTCTGTGCTTGTTTCGTTTAAATTAAGATGGTTAAATTGCAGCATTTTTCCTGCATAGTAAAGTTTCAATTGGAAATGTTTGAAAGAATCACAATAACGTTTTGTTCAGCATTACCAACATTTCAGAGTTACGAACAAACCTCCATTCCGGAGATGTTCATAACTCAGGTTCTACTAGATTAACAGACAGGCATGCATGTTAGTGCCTACCATATGCATACTGAATTGGTGATGGTTCTGGGTTAGGAAGAGGGAAATGAGGAGATAAGAAAAATATATATAGGATTTAATATTAACTGTAGCCTAGCTATAAGAGAGTAAATTACTTGTCCTTTCAACCTTCCATCTGGAGTGAAACTAGGAAAAGGGATAGTTTTGACCTATGTCTAGAGATAGTTTTGACCTATGTCATAAGGTGTGACTGCAACTCGAGTAGACATATCCAGTGATGTTAAATTTTGATTAATTAACTAATCGAATAGTCAATGGTATTTCCATCAACTATTCAATTAGGCAATAAGGGCTAGCGTGTTCTGCTTTTGAAATGTACAAGAACCCCAGCAGGGGCTCTTGTGCATTTCAAAGATTGAAACACTGCATGGAGCTTGGGGCCAGCGGGAGGGGGCGCTCTTGTACATTTCAATGTTGGAGCGCCGCTGCTGCGCCCTGCCCCCTCCCACAGGGCTGGAGCTGGGGGGTGGGAGGGAGAGGAGGAACCAGCTTTTAAGCTGGCTCCCCCCAGTACCGCTTCCTCTCCTTCCCCTTGCTGCCTCTGTGACAGAGGCAGCAAGGGGGGGAAGCAACTAGTAGACTAGCGTGTCGACTATGCGATAAGCTTTTGCTTATCAACTAGTTGCTTTCATCCCTACACATGTCTGAGCTAGTTTTAATGTAGCTAGCTTGAGTCCTGGAGTAGCAAAATATGTTCTGCTCATTAACTCTTGATAGTTTCTTAATCTCTTTAGGGTATGACTAGTAGTAATGCACAGAAAAGCTAAGTTTTAAATGAAGCTTCAAGCTGACAATTTACACTCTCAGAACATCTCTCTCAATAATACAAAAAAGGCTTCAGCCCAATTGGAGCCTCACTGGCTATGTCTACACTGCAGGCTTCTTGCACAAGAACTGTTTTGTGCAAGAGTTCTTGTGCAAAAGGGCTTGTGCAAGAGCGCGTCCACACTGCCATGTGCTTTTGCGCAAGAGCATCCATGGCAGCGTGGACACTCTTGCACAAGAAAGCTCTGATGGCCATTTTAACCGTAGCGGTTTCTTGCGCAAGAAACCCGTTGCCTGTCCACACTGCCTTCTTGCACAAGAGGGCTTATTCCTCTTGTGCAAGAAGCCCTCTGTTCCGATGCCAGACTGTAAATTTACTTACGCAAGAACGCACGTGCAGTGTACACGCTCCGCAAGTTTCTGCGCAAGAACAGCCGTTCTTGCACAAGAAGCCTGCAGTGTAGACGTAACCACTGTGTTAGCCAAGGCCAACTGAAAATTCTACAAATTGAGACCCCATTCCTGCCTCTGGATCCACTAGGCAGGCCGCCAGAGCCAGAGTCCCATTAAGGTCATTGTGATGCCACAGTATTGCGAAGGTTCATTCTAGCATATCCTGTTGCGTGATCAAAGAGTCTGAGTAATCAGCCTCAATTCTAGCTCACTGTGCCTATGCTTTGATGTACTCTCTCAGTATCTGTCATGGAATGAGAACGTCTAAGCACTCATTGTAAATTCAATACAGGCAGTCCCCGGGTTACGTACAAGATAGGGACTGTAGGTTTGTTCTTAAGTTGAATTTGTATGTAAGTCGGAACTGGCATCCAGATTCAGCCACTGTTGAAACTGACCAGCAGCGGCTGAATCGGACACACCTGGGGCAAAGCAGCTGGGGTGCTGCTGGGTTGGTCCCGCAGCGCCACTCCTCGGCGCTACTGGACCAACCCGGCAGCACCCCAGCTGCTCTGCCCCAGGTGTTCCCAAGTCAGCTGCTGCAGAAACTGACCAGCGGCTGACTCCAGGAAGCTCAAGGCAGAGCTGCTCTGCCCCGGGCTTCCTGGAATCAGCCGCTGATCAGTTTCAACAGCGGCTGAATCTGGACGTCTGGGACAGAGCAGCTGGGGCGCTGCTGGGTAGGGTCCCCGCAGCACCGCACCTCGGCACTGCGGGGATCAACCCAGCAGCACCCCAGCTGCTCTACCCCAGGTGTCTACCCCAGGTTTCTTGCCGAGGAGGACGTGGGCAGCTGGACCACGGCGCGTCTTGGCGGTCCCGCCGCCCGCGTCCTCCGCAGCAAGAAAAGCTGCTCTGCGTCTCCCTGGTCAGCAGACCAGGGAGACGCTGAGCAAAGCCGTGGAGCACACGGGCAGCGGGAAAGCCCAGACGCGCCACAGCTGTCTTTGCTCCCCATCTCCCTGGTCTGCTGTCTGAGCAAAGCCTCAGGTGAGCTGTCCCCCTGCGGGCGTGCTCCAAGGCTTTGCTCCCCGTCTCCCTGGTCTGACCAGGGAGACGGGGAGCAGCTTTTCTCGCCGCGGAGGACATGGGCGGCGGGACCGCCGCAGCGCGTCTCGGCGGTCTGCTGGGGGGAGGGGGAGCCCGTTCGTAAGTAGGGAGTCGGATCCACGTAACCCGGGGACTGCCTGTATACAATATTTGTACCAAACCATGTACTGATACATAATGTCACGGTGGGCATTCTGAGAATACCAGATCCCCTCAAAACAGCAGTCCAGAATTTACGTGTATGACTACTTATTTATATACCATTTTAAACAATGGGACTGTAAAGTGAGGACTTATAAGAAACATCAAATACTTCTCTGAATTGTACTTGGGTATTAACCAGAAGTTTTTGAAATGTAGCCACAAATGTATAGGACTTTTCAATAAGAGAGCCAAGTGGGAATTCTTTTGGACTCAGGAACAAAATACTAGAAACTATAGAACTTTCTTTCAACCTACATTAAGTCTACACATCTGAAACAAGTTCTAAAAATGGCTCTGCTTTCCACCCACTAGTCCACTTATAAGCCCACCGCAGGGCATTTTCATTGCCTTTTGGATACAGTCCTCTAGAATAGAGTAGCTAGCTGACTTTTCAAGTTATCAACTTACTTGTGTCTAAAACCCTGGCTAGATGCCTTTTAATCTGGGAAGATGAACCACTGCTGAATGCAACTATCGGTAAGAGATCCTTTGGACTGCTGCTGAAAGCCATTTACTGCTAATATAACATTTTCATTAACACAAATGTTCCTGAGATGTGCTTGCTTTTGCTAGAGGGTACATTTTGCTTAGCACTGGACCAGGTGTGCTTGCTTTTGCTAGAGGGTACATTTTTCTCAGCAATGGACCAGAGAGATGGGTTGATAATTGCTTTTGTCAATTTATTGGTGTCATCAAGTCTTAATGTAGCGCTGCTATTACGTGGTAGCAAAGGATAGAGTGCTTACACAAATACTCCCTTTTGTAAGATTATACGCAAGATTCCAGCTTGTATTAGATAATGTAGCTGACAGTTACATAACACTGTCTCTTCACTGTGGCTCTCTTCCTCTTGTTGATGAGAAATCAACTATAAACTCTGAATTTGTCCAGCCTTCGCAATTTATTTCTCAGCTTAATTAACTGATGACTGCTACTTTTGTACCCTCCTTACACAAGAATTAGCTTTTGAAAGCTGAAAATGTAACACGACTGCTACTTTTGTACCCTCCTTACACAAGAATTACATTTTCAGCTTTCAAAAGCTAACACCGTCTTGAGCATCCTGATCTCCTTTGTTGCAAAGATTTCAAAGTGGACTGAGTCCAGGATGCATGTGATGACTTCAGCTTTTCTTCAAACTTTACATCAACTTGTAGGTCAGGGGTGGGGAACCTCAGGCCTGGGGGCTGGATGGGGCCCTTGGCTTGCCTGGATCTGGCCCCCAAGGCTCCGGGATCCCCCTGAACTGGTGGTCCAACCTCCCTGCCACTCACCCACAGGGCTGGAGCACACAAAATCTACTAGCTTGGGCCCCCTCTAGGCTCTGGTGTGAGAGGAATGTGAGACGCATCTGTTTCCTTCTCAGTCAGGGGCTTCTCACTTTGCTTCCTACTTGTGTGCATGGCTCCCTGACTGACTTTCCTGTGGGTCAGTGGCTCCTGACCCAGAAAAGGTTCCCCACCCCTGCTGTAGACTGAAGCTACACAAACCCCAAAAGGCTTGCAGCCCCAACCGGTTTAGTTATTAGTTAAATTTTAACTTTAACTCCAAGAGGCCTGGACTATTTTGCCCAGCCCTTCTCAAAAGGAAAGGTTTAGGCAAGTTACGAGAAAGGCAAGATGAGGGATAGCTATAAATCATTAATAATTAGATGGTGTAAGCTGTGCACACTGAAGTGGTGTTGTGAAATACCAACAAACATAAGGAAGCCCTTGAAAGTACTAGTACTTCAACACTGAGCTCCTGTAGGGAGTATAAGAGTAGGATACACAGGGGAGATTAAAGAGTAGGATACGCAGAAAATATTTATCATTTTCATTTGGTCATCGCACTACTCTAGGACAGACTGAAGGGAGTAGCAGCTTTTCCATAACTAGCTTGAATGATCAACTAAAGAGGAAAAATATATTGCAAATATAGACTACACCATGTCCCTCAGCAAAAAGCCTAGTGCATTTATACAGTAAAACTCCAATAGTCCGGCACTCCTGATAGTCCGGCATCAAAATGGCAAGAGCCTAGTGAGTGAGCTTCAGCAAAAAATGAGTCACAAGGTAACAGCGGCAGCAGCTGAACTGAGCAAAAAGGGTAAAAAAGGCTTTAAAAAACTAAAACATTACAGTATACTGTGTACAGTATGTACAATAAAAAGGGTTAAGAACACTTTATATACAGTATATAATGTATACAGTATATATATAACCATCTTATAGTACCTCCTGATAGTGCGGCATATCTGATAATCCGGCACCACCTAGGTCCCATAGGTTCCGGATTACTGGAAGTCTACTGTACTTTGACAGCCTGAATTTGATCCCAAATTCCAGCGATGGTTCCGGATTACTGGAAGTCTACTGTACTTTTGACAGCCTGAATTTGATCCTAAATTCCAGCAACACTTGTGGGAGATGAAGGTGGTCAGATGAGCTTAAAAGGAGTCAAGCCATCAGACCTAGGAGTTTGGGACCCTACAGTTTTATACAATAGCACAGAAGTATTATGCCACTTTGATCTTTAAAAAGGCTAGACAATCCTTCACACGAGCTATATGGTAATACACTTCAACCTTAAGAATTGATTCATCCTCACAAAGTTGTTACATGGTAATAAGCAACCTTTATTGTAGAGTTGCACAATTTCTAATGCTTATCTGAAAACCTTACAGGAAGGCTTAAGGCTATTTTGTTGGAGAAACAGGTATAGTAAGATTACATCCCCTTTATTGTCTTTTAACAAAGGCTTTTTGAAAATACGCTTTTGCATTTAAAACAGACATGGCAATTTAGCAAACAACCTACTTGCAAGTTAAAATGCGCACTACATCATTTGGTTTGTATATGTCAATGCACACTGCACAGCTGTCGCCATCAGGACCAATTTCCTAAATGAAGAGCATAAGTCATCAGTTATTTTAGAGACAGATTCAAGACAGAGAGAGTTGCATACAAATTTATTCTGGAAATCAATCTCAAGCTAAAGTGTTCTAGCCAGAATAATCTAGAACAGGACTCAGATACAAATACACATAATGAACTACCAAACCAGTAGGTTTGCCATTTAATCTGGGGCATTCAAACAGCTATCCTGTGACTTAATCAGCAGCAAAACATAATTTATGTCAGTGGATAGGTATTTAAAACCTTAGAAAGCCAAAGGGAAGGAAGGGTATGGCTACAGTGCAACACAGTACGGGCAATAGGAGTGTGAATTGCAAAAGGAGTGTGAGTGCACCAGAGTTACATTTCAAGTGTCCTATGTTTGCGTTAACGTAATTCTGTTTGAAAGTGGACTATGTTTTAAATAGGACTGGAGGGGAGGGATAGGACAGTGGTTTGAGCATTGGCCTGTTAAACCCAGAGTTGTGAGCTCAATCCTTGAGGGGGAAATTTAGGGATCTGGGGCAAATCTGTTAGGGATGGTACTTGGTCCTGCTGTGAGGGCAGGGGACTGGACTTGACCTCTCAAGGTCCCTTCCAGCTCTATGAGATAGGTATATCTCCATATATTAGGAGTGTATTAATGCAAACTGAAGTATTTTTACTTTAGCAGTATCAACATGGAGCAGTTAAAGTACAAGACTTTGGTGTGCTCTAGAATTTGCACATCACCCCCCCAACCCATCCCTCCATAATCCGCAGTGTAGATGCATCAATTCCACCAAAAAATGGCACAATTAAAAAAAAATATTTAGAACAAAGCAGTTGGCCCAAGTTACCCCTGCCAACAGCCTTATTTGCATCAACGTCACAGAAGAATGTCAGTTACACCTGCCAAAAATCTCACAGTGCTAACCAACAGAGGGCTCAGAACACTGCAGTCTATAGCAAAATCTGCTGTTTTGCAAGGTGTAAACTCTTTGGAAAGGCCTGGTCTCCAAACTGATCTGAGCTTGCACTATCTTTCACTTGACTTAAGGCAGGAAGATTTTAGGATATTTGTACAGCCATGTTTATTAAAAGCAAGAAGAGGAAAGTTTGGACAATATGGCTCAGAACACTGCAGTCTATAGCAAAATCTGCTGTTTTGCAAGGTGTAAACTCTTTGGAAAGGCCTGGTCTCCAAACTGATCTGAGCTTGCACTTAAGGCAGGAAGATTTTAGGATATTTGTACAGCCATGTTTATTAAAAACAAGAAGAGGAAAGTTTGGACAATATAATGTCAGAATACATTTAAAATAAACATAAGGAAGTGATATTGTCAATACCTTGTCCCCCTGTTTTAATGTGCGCAGTTCTAACTGTCCAATCGCTTTTTTGGCATCTGCTTTTAACTGTCTCTGTAACCAAAAAAGAGAATTGTTGGTTAAAACTACAGAATTAATTTTCTTACAAATAGTGACCAAAAACATTATATTCAGCACCCAAATGACATCAAAAGCTAAGTGTTGAACTCTTACACTATTAGCCTCATTTAGCACGGACACTATAACTGACAAGTTTTTTTTTTTCTTTCCTCCTCCCGCTCTCCTCTTTCTGCTTCCAATTTGGCATTTCTGTACTTCTTGCTCCACTCATCTAAAGTGGTTGTGCCCACGAAAGCTCATACTACTACATAATTTGGGGGAAGGGGTTAGTCTTTAAGGTGCTATAGGAACACTTGATTTTTATTTTTTTTTAAGTTACAGACTAGGACGGCTTACACCCCCCTCCGCCTGAAGACTAATGTAGCCAGGTATTTCCATAGATATTCAATGTGACTTTTGAAGAGAAAATTTGACTCTCTATGCATCAAAACATTAAGCAGAATAAAGAGCAGAAGCTTAGTTTTGGATACTTTATATAATTGTGCTTTTGAGGGATGTGCTACATGCTTTCCCCAAATGTTTTTAAAAAGGTTTGTCACTGAGAAAAAAAATATATATAAAACCAAGGCATTTTAGATTTTTAAACATACACAATACTCTGTTGATTAAGTTACATCAGATCTAGCAGTGTCAACCTAAGCCTTCAAATTAACTCAGTCCAGAAGAAGGAAACCTGTAGAACTCAGAGGGAGTTAATCTATCCAAGTGCTGTGAATCTGTATGGTGACTTCCTAGCACTGACTGACACTGAGGTATATCTTGATAAAAGGGAGGAGCAGGCTGCTGAAGGACCATAACTACTGCCAACATGCTTTCTGAACCAAGCCTTTGAAATGAGTTCATTTCATAATGTACACATGCTGCTCAGGAGCCCAGAGCTTGCTAGCACCAACTGCAGCTGAACAGCGACAACAATTCAAACAATTTTATCTGGTGACTGACCCAAGTTAGCACACGTAAGATATGCATCTTTGCGAAAGCTAGTTTTTAATCTAAGCCCGAGGACAGATTAGGTAAAACCTGTAGGCTGCACTATCAAAGGCCAGCCCTAGAAGACTTACAAGGTACCTATAACGCCAGCAAGGAAGTGAGACTGCATTCCCCCTCCTCGCACACCCTGTCAATCAATTTGTTTGATTGTGCGAAGCTGCCAAGAAACAGAGGCACAGACAAATGGCCAAAAAATTGAAGTTTCAGCTTGCCTAACGGCTGTTGTTAACCAACTGGCACACTAAAGGGTTCAATTAGCACGAAAGCCAGTATTTCTGCTTAAAATGTCACAAAAGTTTTGTCATCTTCAGGAACGGGATGACCTCTCCCTACTACGCAGGTATGCTGCTACTTACATGAAGTCACAGGCAGGCAGACCCAGCTACACTGCTGCAACACCTCAGTAAAACAACGATAAGGATCTTTACAGCCTAGGCAAGGGGGATCAAAGTTCGGCAGCCAACTGGATATTCTGCTACAAGTTAAAATGTTGAGTTTGTGTTTATATTCGTAAGATCGTAATCAACACAGAAACTGAGCTCGTTTTTAAATGTTATCCCTTCCCTATATTTCCAGTTCTTATCATAGCTAAGATGTTAGTAGTGACAATACATAACTACTGGAGAAATTCAGGAGGAGGAAAAGAATCACTTGAGTTTGACAGATGAATGGCAGGGCACTTATGGTTTTTGATACGTAGGCCAGGTCTACAGATGGGCCAATGCCTTTGGAAATCTGCTTGTGTATCTGATCCATACAGACAAGAGTGCTTCCGTCAACACTGTACCACCTCCAGCAAGCAGCACACCATGGGCTGGCCATGCCATCACTTCTGACGGAGTAACTCGTATCACTCAGGTTGGTGTTTTCACATCCCTGAGCAACAGCGCCGTTCCCCCCATGCCCTTCTATGAGCGGCAGTAGTGCAGTGTGGCCAGGGGAGGCAGCTCCGGCAGCAACCCCTGTCCACAGGGGCTCCCATAGATTAAGAGCCCCCAAAGAATGACAGACACCTCCACAGAGTTCTCATGTAGAGTGTGGTAAAGTCATACGCAGATCTAAATATATAGCAACAGTAGTATTATTTGTATTGGCTAGAGCAGCATATATCCAGTTTATAGCCCTCTAAATTATGCCAACTGAAGAAAGTCTATATAAAATTCACACAAGCATCAAATCCACATGGTTCTGTCAGGATAGGCACATTATCTGAATTTTGACTATTAGTCATTTTGGAAAACAGGATAGGCACATTATCTGAATTTTGACTATTAAGTCATATTTTGAAAAAATGTTCTGAGTTTGTCTAAGAAACATAGTGCTGGTCAGACTTGCTCACCTTTAACATCAGCATTAACAGGAACAGCGAGTATATGCAGGGAGCTAAATAACTAATGATCATTTTCTGGGAGAGTTCCAGCTAAGGAACTTGGAGGCACAGAATCTATGATGCATTTTCCTGCATGGCTCTCCACCTCAGAGGCTTGCCTCTGGAGGCTTCACCACCAGGTACAGTATTCTCAGTGCTCCCATTAAGATAGACCCTGTCTGTGAACATCAACTGTTGCTCAATACCAGAAAAAGAAGCAGAAGTTGATAAAATAGCAGCCACCCATGTTCAGACAATTAGCAGTTTAGACCTGATATCAGTGCCACAGTTTTCACACACTAACTCACTGGCTGACTTCCAAACAGACTTTAAATTTAGAAACTCCACAGTCCCTTACTCTGACATCAGTCAAAAATATTTCCAGTTGTCAACTGTGCTGTCAGCTGTGCACAAGGAAGTCTGGGAGCTGCACCAGTAAATCCTTCAGACATCCCTTACAGTTTCAGTACACATTGTCTCTGCTAAGATCCTGTAGGACAGACACAATTGCTGTACCCTGGTACTCTCACACATTAGGCCTGTGGTAATTTAGGAGTTTGTGAAAGAGCAGGAAATTGTCTAGAAATTGTGGTTACACAAGAGTCCTGAACTTCCATAGCCTTTGGACAACCAGAGTTGTGTCACTGTCTGCAGTTAGCATATTGTGTTCAGCATGAAGTCCATCTCACATACATCCTTGAAGTTTTCATATTCTCATTAAAGGCAGACTAAGTAGCACGATAATCAAAACTGCCCAACATTTTCCATTATGAGTTCCTGCTTTTAATGGCCCATAATTTTGTCACCAACATTCAATTGGTGTTGGGACTATGCAGTCCACACACAAAATGTCTGCTTCGGGCCGATTTTTGAACATTTAAGAAGGTAATATACAGTCATTACTAAGAAGAACTTTAAGGCAAAATAACTCTGTTAAATTAACAGCATTTTGTTAAGCAGCTCCTATTACTGCATGTTTGGAGAAGAGATTTGAAATTTTGTATTGTGGTTGGCTTAAAGCAGAGGTGGGCAATAATTTTCATCCGGGGGCACACACTTAATGAATTTTGGCACTGGTCACAGACTGTCTCCACCCCACCCCCGAACGGGAGGGGATGTGGGATGAAGGGGTGGGGCTGGGGCCTAGCTTCCCCCCAGAGTTCTCTGGGGCCAGAGGCCTTGCAGTAAACACACAGCAAGGGTCTTGCGGCTCCTGGCCCTACTGCAGCTATTTAAAAGGCTCACATCTCTGGGCTCACGGTGGGGTCGCACTGCAACTGGGATCCATGACCCATTTAAATAGGATCCTGTTGCCTGAGCCACAGCCTGGAAATTCAGTGGCACGGGCAGAGGGATATAAATAAAAAGTGGCCAGATGCAGTCCACTGGCTGGATGAAAGTGTTAGACAGGCTGGATCCAGTCCCCAGCTTGCATCTTGCCCAGCCCTGGTTTAAAGTCAAGGCTTTTTGCTCTTTCTGTGAAGGAGTATGGCATGGGCCATACATTGGTCAATGAGGATAAGATTAAATATTCAGGGAGCACCATGCATTCAATACATGACGGAGGCAGTGGCTGTGGGGAAGAACATGCAGTCATGTATTTCGAGACAGTATCACAGTGCAGATACAAAGGGGCTGAATTAAGGTTGAATAGGCAACCTTAATCCTCTTTTTTTTTTTGTAACTTCAGTGCTCACCTAACTTTTTTTCCCAGTGTATTTTTAGGTGAAAACTCAAATTAAGATAGTGTGTGTAGAAGCGTTAAGGGGTTAAATTGACAGCCATGCCTCAGCAAACAATATTTTAATTGCGGTAACTGAATTCATTTATAGGGAGAGAGAACAAGCATCAGTCAGAGACCTGATGCGCCTGTCTTGGGTTCCATCCATACTGACAACTTAGAGTTAAGAATATGCCACAGTCTGAAAGATTATGGCCAGTGCCTGGTCTAAAAAGGAGAGTCAGACTCAGATGGAAGGAAAAGAGGGGAGAAGACAGAGAAGATTTTATTTCTGTCCCTCCATGCTGGAAAGTAGCATTCATTTGGTCAAGTTCTTTTCCCTGCTCCTCCTCCTGAGAGAATCATCTCTGGTGCTTAGAGATGAAACTTTTAAACAGGCCAAACAGGCCTTACGTTCCTTCTATAATCCAAGCAAGATACCTGCATGACACACCGAGCTCCACTACCCGAAGGTGCAGAGGTTTAATTACTGTTCCCACGAACATGGGCATTGTCCTGATGCAGGTCACCTTGCTTCCTACATCATGTTAAGTGGGTCACTTCTGAGGTATTACATAAAGTGTATGACAGCAGTTAAGTTTGGGTCACTTCTGAGGTATTACATAAAGTGTGTGACAGCAGTAAACTCTGAACCAATGATGGTGAACCAAGTACTATCCCTAGTTATTTCATGATGGCAGTGAGTTCATTTAGACTTGAAAAATTGTAATGTCCTGTACTGGTCAGTATCCAGCTACATTTAAGGTCCCTTTACTCTGTCAGAGTGCTATACAGAGTCCTCGGTACAAATGAGCATCAAATACTCTTTTAAAAGTATGTATCCAGTTGTTCACATAACAGAAGCCATCAAGTTTTGGTTTTAAAGGTAGCCTTTTAATGCCCACTTTTCCCCCACTCCCTGCATTAGCTATAAACCTCTCCAATAGTAGAGGACTCTGCGGAGTAAGTGAGGGAATCATGTAGGTCATGAGAGACTGCAGTATCTTTTTCTACTCTTTTCTTCGCTACCCAGATTTCTACAGTCACATAGATTATCTGCTTATTCTGTTGAACTAGTGTATTTACCTGCATAAGAGTAAATATCACAGAGACACACATTCCACTTCTACCAAGAAGTTCACGACATAGGTGGAACTTTGCTACAGCACACAAGAAAAAAAAAATCACTTTTCTCTCTATACATTAACATTAGCAATGTATGCCATTACGATATCAGTTAGCAATAACTAGGCTCCTATTTAGATTTAAATAAAATCACACAGCAAGTCCCAGGGGTAGCTGTGTTAGGCTGTATTGCAAAAATGAGGAGTCCTGTGGCACCGTAAAGAACAACAGATTAAACTTTTAAATGAGGAGTCCTGTGGCACCGTAAAGAACAGATTAAACTTTTGTAGGTAAAAACCACTTTGTCAAATGCATCTGAAGTGGTGGTTTTTACTTACAAAAGCTGATGCCCAAATAAATACGTGAGCCTTTAAGAACCCACAGGACTCCTTGTTGTTTTAGTCTGAAAGAATATAGACACTCTTACACTCTTATGCAAAAGATTAAGACTAGTGTCTATTTGATTGAAATGTGCTAGACAGCCTGTTACTTTTAGAGATATCATACCTGAACTGTATCTGCTGTACAGTCAGTCCCCGGGTTACGTACAAGATAGGGACTATAGGTTTGTTCTTAAGTTGAATTTGTATGCAAGTCGGAACTAGCTCCAGATTCAGCTGCTGCTGCTGCAACTGACCAGGGGCTGACTACAGGAAGCTGGAGGCAGAATTGCTCTGCCCCCAGCTTCCTAGAATCAACCACTGATCAGTTTCAACAGCGGCTGAATCTTGAGCCTGGGACAGAACAGCTGGGCTGCCAGGGAGGTCCCTGCAGGACCAACCCGGCAGCACCCCAGCTGCTCTACCCCAGGGTCCACAACAAAAGCCTGGTCTGTTGGGGGAGGGGGGGACGCACTAGCTGTGCCCTCTCCCCCCCCCAGCAGACCAGGGACA